AAGGATGCATTGTGGGCGTTCATGACGTCGAGTCCCAGGATGAACTCTTCGGCGATACTGGCGGCGAACACACAAGTTGTCAGTGGGTGCCGCCTCAGAGCCATTGTCTCTAAAGCTTACTTAAAGGTCGCGGGGCTCTCCTGATGGCGGCTGCAGGGCGCACTTCGTGGGCAGTCCTGTTATGTCCGGTCTGGTAATGATTTGCGTATTACATAAACACTAAATTCTTGCAGATATTCACAAGGGGGAATGTTTATGATCTGGCGTATTTTCCCCAGATGTGCAGCATGAAAACAGTAGCAATGAACAGCAATGCCATTGCCAGGACAGGCACTGGACCTACTTTAATGCCAGACTCACAGGTATAGAACCTATTCCGCGCGCTACAAATCCCAACTCCAGTAGTTCCAACAGTACCACCTCTGGCGGCTCTTTTAGTTGCAGCTTTATTACGGGGTATGTTTCCAGCACCCCTAGATTTTGAACCTTGATTTGCGGGCATTTTATGTTCCTTTGCTTCAATTTGTACCACAAGGACTGCACCTTATACAACTTTCTTCCACTTCCACGTATCCTACTTGCCACCAGTTGTCACGTGTGACTAGACAGGGGGTTTGGATAACTGGATTTACTGGATCCTTATAACACGTTCACTAATCACTATGGCACACGCTGTCTTCTATGCCTTCACTAGTCGCTGCTTGGTAACGACTTCCCGTCGGGCTTTAGTTTATAACCTAATCACGGACATCATAGAAAACACCGCTACCAACAATTCTCCTATTGTTGCAGGCAGTTGCCTAGCGATAACCTGGGTATTGCTAACGTGTTTGCCGGCGGTTGCCTAGCAGCGAATGTTTTCCCTGGGTCTTCTATTCCGCTTTTAGCTGTCGTGTCCCAATATTTACGGTTATTCCTCCAAACAGCAAAATTCAGAAGATGCAAATATTGTATTTTCCTCCACGTAAGCAAGCTAATTAAATTTTCAGTCTTTATCCAACAATCTAGAACAGTAGGTAATTAATATCTCTTATTGCAAAATTTGGAGTCGGTGTAGCGACGGGCTAGTGGCTGGACGGTCCGAGTTCGATTCCCAGCAGGGACATATTTTACTCCTCTGTGCAGTTTCCAGGTTGACTGTGGGGCCCACTCAGCCCCTCATTCCAGCCGGTACCGGGGGCGGTTTCCCCAGGGGTAAAGCGACCGGGGCGTAAAGCTGACCACTAAATTCCATCTAGTGCCGAGGTCAAGAATGGTGGAGCTGTACCTCTGCTCCCCCATGTCTCCATGACAGTGCCTAATTGCTTAATTACATAAGCACAGAAATAACGTTATCTATTACTGCAAATATGATGTTCAAAGAACCCGTCTCTGTTTCCATCATCAGTGTTAACGTGACAGATGTGTCTACATGTTGTACTAATAACTCTTGGCTACCCTGGCCAGCCCTAACCACCTTAACATTAACGACCATATCCACCTGCTGACTTGGGGGGGGGGTTTATGGTGGGAGGAAGGGAACGCAAGGGAAAGAAGAGTGGTGCTGACAATAGTGATAGATGGAGATAATAGATAGGAATAGTCAGGAATCAGAAAGGGCAGGAAGGTTGGGAAAGTTGTGGATGAAAAGAGGTCATCAGGAACTGATAACTGTGATAACTGCTTAGAACTGGAACTACAGCTGAATAAGCTTTATTATAGCTAAGTTCTGCACAGTTAATTATAGAAATACAGTATGCGCCAAAATATCAGTACTGAAACTAACATATGCGTTTGTCGACGGGTCATAGCTCCTGCCGTAAGTGTTCCAAGTAGTGAAATGGAAGTTGTGTTGTGCAATTGTTGGAAATGGGTCTCTCGATGGAGGAAAAAGTATTCATAGTTTAGTATTATTTCACCTCATACGGAAGTGGTCGCCAGACAACTCGCTTCCTTGATTTTGAGCAGCCAGGTGTTATCGTCCAGAAACTGCTACACAGTACATGTGTAATGATATGGTGTGCCCTCTCAGCACACAGTACAATAGGCCCCTATTTCATTGAGGATGAGGAAGGCAATGCTCTTACCGTCACCCAAGAACGCTACAGGGACATGGTGATCAGACCGTTTCTTCAGTATTTGAGAAGGGTCTTTCGTGCAAGAGGCCTTGACATGAATAGACAGTGGTATCAACAGGACGTCTTTTCATTTCAGTGCTGTATATTTTCGCGCATACTGTACTTCATATAGGCCAAAATGTCAGTACGTGTTCTGAGTACATAAGTAATATTACGTCTGTAACTTACGAAGATGTTGACCAGGAAGTGAATAATAATTGGGAATTAGTAAATTCAAGGCATTCTAGTGATTCAAAGAAACTTAAGGAACGTGGGAAACATCTCATTTTTGCAAACAGCAAAACGTTTGTAACCTCTAATCAGTTCTCAATGTTGGCCGACATCAGTGAGTCAGAAATGAAGTGCTTATTTCAACAGACTTGCAAGATACATTCAATGTAATCGATAAACACCTCAGCGGTGCAGATAAACCTAAGACTACTCTGGTAAAGCAAACTTGGGGTTGTCATAACCTAAGCTTCAGGATCAAGAAAGAAAAACCTGAATTAGAAGAGGTCATGAATAAACCTCTTTACTCCATCCCAAAAAAGTTAATGGACATTTGGACCTATGACACAAAGGAATGGCAAAATTAATAACTGATAATGTATTGGTGAAAGTGTACAATGATAGGACTACAATTATGAAAGAACACAAGATTGTAGTTATAGGAGATAGTCATTCTAGAGATGGGAGGAACACAGACTGAGGGTAGACTTGAAGCTCTTTCTAAGGGGCCCAACTGAGTAGGTTTAACCTTCCCTATCCACCTGAAGACGGAGACAGATCCAGTCTCCGAAACGTCGTGGTTTTTTTGTCTTTTATATACCGGACGATGGGTGAAGTCCAAAAGAAGTACAGACTGAGGGTGTTTGAGAACAGGGTGCTGAGGAGAATATTTGGACCTAAAAGGGATGAAGTGACAGGAGGTTGGAGAGAATTGCATAATGAGGAGCTTCATAATTTGTACTCTTCTCCAAGTATAATTAGAATGATGAAGTCAAGGAAGATGAGGTGGGCAGGTCATGTAGCACAAATGGGGGAGACAAGGAATGTGTATAGGATATTGATGGGAAAGCCAGAAGGAAAGAGACCACAGGGAAGACCAAGGAGTAGGTGGGGGGACAATATTAGAATGGACCTTAGAGAGATAGGATTGGATAGATCTGGCTCAGGTTCCATAAAATGCTGGGAAATTCTTGAGTAGCTGCAGAATTGGCTGCTCCTCCAGAAGGGCTCAGCTCCATGAGTAACTAACTAAGTAAGTAAGCCATTCTAGAGATTATGCAGTGGAGGTGAAGAATCATATGAATAACAATTTTAAAGTAACTGACCTGGTTAAACCAGGTGCGGTTGCTGAGTTACTACTGAAATCTGTCATGAGTGACACGGTAAATTTAAGTAAATTTAGTTGTGTTGTGTGGTGGTTCCACTGATGTGAGTAAGAGCAATTCCAATGTAGCCTTAAAACATATCCTAAATTTTATAAAAGACAATAACAACACTAATATCATTCTACTAAGTATGCCACATAGACACAATTTCATGGTTTCCTCTTGTGTCAACAATGAAATTAGAACTTTCAATAGAAAGCTAATGCAGTACATAAAAATTGTTGATCATTATTTTTATTGTTTGCATTCTGTTGCGTGAATACAACTACTAATATTAATTTTACAAGTTCAGCTGTTAACACACCAAATGTTTATTAATTTAAACCACACTACATGTTTCAACCCTTAAAGGGTCATCTTCAGGTGTTTTTGTAACACATGATCTTGTCTGAATATTTCCTACCATTGTATGGGTGTTAATCACTATATTCCCAGTTTACATGTATTCGTTGTGAAGTGGCTATATATTTTGTATTGTTATTGATTAATTCTTGAATATTGAATTAAATTGGGATTAGGTATGAGTTTCTACATAAAGTTAATTCTTTAGAATGAGTTAAAATTGGTCTAAAAATGGTGTGAGCTGTAATTGTGATGTAGTAGTCTGAACTTATCATGTTAACTTTTTCCACATTCTTCTGTTATTTGTTGCTTTAATGTTTTACATTGATGTTATTATGTTCTCCTTCCTTGAGAGCCAATTGACCATATTTCTTCTTTGATAATGACTGCATGCCAATAATTAATGTTATGTCCCTGTATTCATTCTAGCTTACCTTGTAATGGATACATTCTGAAAATGCTTCATATAGGCCAAAACATACGAAGGCAGTAACGTCAATTGCCTTATATATAAATATTACACAGGATGATGCTCTCATTAGAGATCATTACTAATACAAATGTGATGGTTAAGAGGGGCCATATCAAAATATCCAAGAATACTGATGAAGCTGATAGCTGTAACTAAAAATAAATATATTTTAGGTTGCGGTACATTTGTTTATTGCTAATGGATCTAATCAGAGTGATATAATATTAAAAAAAGAATTACATATTTCTTTGTTGGTACTTTAGCCTGTAATCTTTATTGAAGGTACTCATGCACAGCATCTGCTTCCCCCAGTCCCTGTAAACGGATGAGATAATTTACACAATATTTCTGTTATGGTCGTCTGTGTCACCACAGAATGGTGAACTAACTATGAATGAGGGGAAAATTATTTTGTTTTGAACTCATAAAGAGACAAATAGACAAGTGAGACTGACTGTGAGTGCACGCTCAGGCGCAAGAGGCCGATGCTCCTCCTTTCATCAAGCTGAGCTGACACATAATGTTCACTGCAGGAAAGCAATGTCTAGAAAACACTCCAAATTAGAGAAACTAATTGTCAGAATTTGCGGTTAAGTGGCTTCCATTGCGGATAGGTTTCTATGATACAATGAATGTCTGGATCCCCCAGCAACAGACAGTTTCTTAAACAATTGAACAGCTATGAATTTCTCAGGTGTATGAAGGAATTGGTGGGTGTGATCTGTGAACATGAAGTAATTAATATACATCAGAAAAGAGGAATTATTTATTGCTGCTTTTTACAAGCATATACATTTGATATAGACCCATATACGATTTATGTTCTCCTAAAATTAGGATTCTTGGTTGGTTTACAATGTTTCAGCTTGCTGACTGTCATTACGTTGTTGCTGTCACATTTTTTCCACCAACAGCGGCAACGAAATTCCAGTGGCCCACATTTTTATGTATGCACAAATGAGAAAAGTAACTATCTTTAATGCAGTGTCAGATAGTAAAATATATGACTGGTTTGGATTCTTCAGTTGTTGTAACAAGAGAACCAACAACTATTTCATCTCCTTTCATCTACAATGTTTTCATTTCTTTGATTCTTTATAATGGATATCTGGTAAATTTCGTAGTTGCTCTGCAGCTTGTTCTTGTGTTAAATCTCGTTGATTCTGAGCAAGCATTTCATACCTAAATTAAGTAAGAAACGAAAATATTAATATTATGTTCAGTGAGGTATATTTATGATTGTGAAATATAGGTATAATAATGTGTGAGAAACACAGTAGGTCCTCTTGTAGAAGGCAATTCATCAGCAGGTAGAGTTTTATAGATTTATGAGTAGCACACATAACTGGAGACCACACACATTAGACTGGCAGAAAGAGTGACAAGAAAAAAAGTGGAATATTTTCTGTATGAATGTATGAGGGGTAGACCTTCTCGGCCCTTGCACCATGACCTACAGTGGTCTATTGTGCTTTGAATATTTTCTACAAGATGGCAGAGAAAAATTAATGTTCTATTAGAAGGTGGCAAGATAAATCTTTTATACACAATATAATTCCATCAATAATGCAACTTCCTTTCACAACTGTTTCAGCTCCAAATGGCCATCATCAGGTGTCTCAGCTATACTAAAACTGTTCCACTGTATAGAATGTCCACTTTTCACATCACATATAACTGTGATATTTCATTACTTCAAATATTGAATGTTAGATAACTTAGTTAACATTAGTTAAAATACTGTATGCTGTACTTCACTTTAAATTGAAATTCATTAAAATTTTGTAAAATTCTTTTTTACACCTCTACTAGGGGCATCGTCCACTTGTCCAAATGATATAGTTCAAAATCCCTCTCTTTGGATTTCTATACTGTAGCGACCTGGGTGTTCGCATGTTGTTTTCTGTATGTAAGTCTGTTGTTGTGGTTATGTCTGCAATATGTAAGAACCCACATATTACTACCGTATGTCCAAAAAGTATCCAACTTTATTTTTTTCCGCTGTAAGTAATGGCCAGAGGGGTGGGGAAACTGAGCGTAGTGGTAGAAGGGACTTTCATGCACATGCGTGATTTTTTGCTGCCTCGCAACACTGCCGGATGCGTCTGTGGCTGCCAGATAGTGAAGTGGTGTAACACATGGTCATCGCATTCTCGTTTCACTCAAGATGACAACGCTTGGAGCAGCGATACTGCATTAAGTTTTGTCAGAAACTTGGGGATACCCAAGCGGAAACAATTCGCAAAATTCAGCAGGCTTTCGGTGATAATGTAATGGGGGGTCACTCAAATTAAAGAGTGGTTCAACCACTTTAAACATGGCTGTATGTCGGTGGACAGTGAGCAGCGTTCCAGGAGACCGTCAATGCTGATGTCATTGAAAAAGTGCGGACACTGATCATGGAGGACCGTTGTTTGGCCATCCGTGAAGTTGCTGATGAGGTTGGGATCAGCAGAGGTTCCTCAAACACAATTTTAACTGAGGATTTGGGCATGCAAAGAGTGGTGGCAAAATTTGTGCACAAGCTGCTTTAGCCAGAGCAGCAAGAACTCCGCCTTGAGGTCGCGCAGGACATGCTGGAGTGCACCAACAGGGATCCTGAGTTCCTGAAGACTGTGATCACTGGTGATGAGTTGTGGGTGTATGGATATGACCCGGAAACCAAGGTTCAGGCGTCACAATGGAAGCATCCAACATCCCCGAGGCCCAAAGAGCACGACGGGTTCGGAGCAATGTGAAGGTGATACTGACTGTGTTTTTTGATTACCGGGGTGTTGTGCATCATGAGTACGCACCATTAGGCCAGACTGTCAATAAGGAGTACTACCAAGAAGTCCTTCTCCATCTTCGTGATGCAGTTCGGCGCAAGAGACCGGAGCTGTGGGACGCACGCAACTAGCAGCTGCATCATGACAACGCCCCAGCTCATTCATCACGCCTGATCCAGGGTTTCGTGGCCAAGCACGGCATTCTGCAGGTTCACTAGGCTCCCTACTCTCCTGACATGGCTCCTTGTGATTTCTGGCTGTTCCCAAGATTGAAGACACCACTAAAAGGCTGCCGTTTTGACAGCCGCGAGGACATCATACAGAACGCGATGGCACAGCTGCACGCCATTCCAAAAGAAGCTTTCCAGAATTGCTTCCAGTGATGGAAGGACCGCTGGGCTAAGTGTGTGGAGTCACAAGGGGCTTACTTTGAAGGCAGTTAGGTATTGTAACCACCCAGATACAGAACTTTTTTTTCCTGGGCCAAGGTCGGATACCTTTTGGACAGAGTAGCATTGTTCTGATTTATTGTGTCTAGTGTTATGTTATGTTTACTTTTATATACTCACTTTGCCTTTTGCTTGTATGTCATTCTTCCACCTGCGTACACTGTTGTCTTCCCTTACGTGTGGATGTTATGCATGTGTAGTATGCTTAGTCCCATATTTATAATGTACTGGGGTGGGGGAGAGGCATGTGTACTGTTACCCTGTGTAAATTTAGTGTAATGCTTCAAATATGGGGCTGTGTATATCAATATGTGTGTCATTCATATGCAGATTATCCATACTGATTTCATAAATGTAATACTTTTCCAGTGTATTCCAATATTTTCCATTCTTCCCTGTTATAATTTCCATGGTATGTGCTATTGTTCCGTATGCATGTCCAGTGTTCAATATGTGGTTTGAATATCCAGAGCTATTGGTATTTCTTCTAATATCATGAATGTATTTATATGTAGTACTGAATGTTCTTCCCATTTGTCCAACATATTTTAGTGGACAACCTAGGCATTTCATTTGGTAAATGCCACTTCTACTATACTTATCTGTTTATGGCCAAAGCTTTAATATATTTTGTATTGTGTTCTGTTTGTGCAAGGCTACTTTCATTCGTGTGTCCTGAAAAAGCTTCGTAATTCCTCTTACTTCTTTACTGCTGCATGTGAAGGTAACCCACTTTGTTTTTTGGTGCTGCGAGTTGAAATGTGTATTTTGTTTTTGATTCTGCTGTGGGGTCATCTACTAATTAAATTTGTGTTGTACTTAATGGTGGTATTCTTTTCTCCATCCTTTGCTTTTTTCTGTTATTGGATACATATGTAATCAATTTAATACCAAATAGCTTATATTATACGGATGGCATGAGCTATTTGGTATTATGTCAGTTTGCATGGGTTTGCGATATATTGAAAATTGCAAATTTTTGCATCATGCTGTATTGTCACAGATGCATTGCACACAACTTTCAATAATCACAACACTATTCTAGTGGTGGATAAGATACATCAGTCTCCCAGCCTGTCTGTTTGTGTATGTGTGTGTGTGTGTGTGTGTGTGTGTGTGCGTGTGCTTACTTCCTTACTTCTCTGTCTGTCTCTCGTCATCCGAAGTCAGTCCTTTTAAATACTATGGGATGACAGAATATTCTAGAAACTTCTGCTTCCAGATTATTCTCGATTCTTCTTCATTGTTCTACTGATCGGGAATGTTCTGGAAGTTTCTTTAATTAAGGTGGTGGGATGGGTAAGCTATTCATATACCGCAACGACTATCATAATCATTCTAGTAGGTCTTATCTGAATATTCCTCGCTGAAAATTCTTAGAATAGTTAATGCAAAACTGAGCATAAGTCACACTTAGTACAGGACTGGTATTAAGTAATAAGTAATGTATTGTGACGTGTCGCGCTAGCTGGACACCCCCGGAGCAGACGCGCAAAGCGGAGTCGAAGTTAGCCGAGTCCCAGCGTCCTGGTAGCTATGCAACGCGAATCAACAGCAGTGACGTAAGACAGCGTGAGGTAACAGCGTTGCTAGGCTATACGCAGACACTGTTACGTGGGTAACGGGTAACAGCGAACGGAATATAAGCCAGCTGAGCAGCAAGCGAGAGCGAGTGTGTGATCAACAGTTCTCAAGGCAGCAGCCTACGAGTATAGTCGAAAGATAGCGGCCGTCACAGAAAGAAGTACCGGACGTGTGTGTGTAATTGCGTAATTGGGAGTGTGTGATACAGTTGGACTTATATAGCTCCCGTACTGTGAAAACGTGTTGACTACTGACAATAGAGTGAACAGATTAATATGATTAGGGTTATAAAGTGTGAAACCCTGCAACTGTGTGATAATTAATTGTAGCCGTTACTTGTAGGTTGTTGAATAAACCAGTTAACAATCCGAACGGCGTCTTCAGTAATGAAACACGTTACACTGGTGTCAGAAGTGGGATTGGACTTACACACGTGACCTACAAGATTCGAACTCAAGACACGTTACACTGGTGTCAGAAGTGGGATATGAACTTACACACGTGACCAACGAGATTCGAACTCAAGACACGTTACATTTGGTGTCAGAATTGTTAACGAACTTAAACACGCCACACACTAATTATTGTGCATCGAGTACTCTCCTGCAACAAAATGGAGATGCAGCAGGTGATGGAAGTGCTGGCAAGAATGGACGCCAACATAAGATCTAACCAAGTAAAAGCAGATGCCGACCGAGTGCAGCTGCAAGAAATGTTCCGGACCCATCAGGACAGAATGGACGCCAACATGAAATCCTACCGAGAAGAGACGGAGGTCAAATGGAAAACCGGCCATAAGGAGTTGCTGGCCATTATGGAGGCCAACCGAGAGGAGAGGAGAGTCGGCCAAGAAAAACTGCAAGAGAAAATCGAAACCGACAAGGACGAAATGAAGGCCGAAATGCGATCTATGCCGTCAGAGTTTAATGAGACACTCCAACATAAAATTAAAGTGATCAGAGTCAAGATGGCCGCCTGGCGAGAACAGACTGGAGCGGAGACAAGAGGACAAGAGGTCCCCAAAATAATACCGGTCGGAGAGACGATGGCCTGCCAAGAAATGGAGGCACGTCCAGAAGATGAAGAGCCGGCCTCAGTGCACAGGAAACTGGAGGTGGCAGAATTACGAGAGGTACCCATAGAAGATGCTGAAGGAATACCGGTCAGAGAACCGAAGAAGAAAAGGTGTAGGGACCGAAACAAGCGACAAAAGAAAGTTTCGACACGGAAAAATTGCAGACCCCAGAACAAATTGGCCGTCGTTCGCAGGAAGGTGTTCCGCCATGCAACAGTGGCAATGCCT